TTTTAATTGGTGCTATTGCTTCAGGGCTAAATGCGTGTCCGAGAAATTCTGGAGGCTGAACTCTGAGAACACTAATGTTTTATGTATGCTCACTACACAGTCACCTAGCTTTTTTTAACACAACTCTCATATATTGTCTTTGTGACGATGTATCGGAACTCGTGGTTATTAAACCATTGCGAAGAAAGCATATTGAGGAGCAGACTGTCCAAACGTTTGCAATGTTTGTACTGAGTTCATAAACTGAATGACATGTGTAGGAGCTGAAACGATCCACGAGTTGTGGTAAGCGGTGTTAGATATATCCTACTCAGCGACTCGATTGTTTTGGTTATGAGAAGGGGTATCGGTTTCGTAACGTCTGAAGAAACTCAGGTTTTTTCATGAAGAGTCTTAATTTTTAATGTGTGTACTTTTATGTCCAGCCAACGGGACTCGTCCAGACTTTGAAGAAATGAATTAATCCACTATTCTCCAGTTGTTATTCACTCATCTTTTGACCTTGTCAGTCATTTACTTATATCTTGGTTGCTTTTATTCGTGTGTATGCACGCTTATTACATGTCTGGCCTACTGTGTCTTAATACAAATGCATAGTCATGCTTCATCAAACTGAGTTGGCTTATTCGTCTTCTCCGCTTTGCTTTGCTTGTATGCTTTTCATTGTCATGTCTGCTTGAACGACTGCCTGAAATAAACTCATCCAACATATTCTGTATTTGACTTCTTTGAACAAACGGGGTACGCCTAAGTTTAATATACGGAAACCGATGGGGAGATTTATTTCATAGCATAGTTAAATGTTAATAAATATCAGAGTCAAATCGCAAGCCAATAATGTAGTGATCCCCACATCGAATCTAACGCAGCCACCCGAAATTCACCTGAATAAAGACCCTTCAGATCCCACAGAATAGATTAAATGGGTTTTGTGAAAAATGTATTTAGCAAGTTTGTTTTCTAAGGGATGTGTTGCTAGCACCACAATGGTATAACTAATGAGGTCAGCATCAGTAAAGAATACCTGCATTACTATTTGTTTTGGGAATTTATCTATTGGGACAAAGGGGAAATTCATATGTTCTTGTTAAACTCTCACCACTATCAGTAAACGATAAAGCTTTCGACAGCGTTCTCGAGCATAAAAACCTCTTTTCCCTTCATTATTAGACAGTCGAAGTCACAAATCAGCAAAACGTAATCACAACAAAATTGGATCACTGTGCGATAGGTCTAGATGTCGCAGTCAACTGCTCTCTTCCTGGTTTCTTCAATAACTGCGTACGCACGTTCATCCACTTACAAACTAGGGAATTGTGAAAACGTTGCTGGATCTATGGCAAGTTGCTTGCTAAGACGATCAACGAAAACGTAGCAATTTTGGGTGGCTTTCGGATTTTTTACTCGCGTAGAATATATTTACTTTCAAAATTTACATCTTCCATATGTTCCTTTTCTCACAACACACCTTTTAGTCTACTGAGTAGTATGTACTGCAATAACAACTACTGAATCCCGAGATTATAAATGGGTTGGAAATCCCAGTTTCTAGCAGCAGAAATGTGAATAAGCTCAAAAAGACCCTGGATAGTGAACATCAGAGTGATAAGTATAATTTAGATCATTTGACCAAAACTCTTCAATTGGGTTTCTAAAACGGAAACCAGGACGACACTTCTTCCTAGATTCCTACTTCTAGTTAAGCTATTAGACAAAAAATAAAGAGGTGAAAGCGGCTCCCTAAAATTCAAGTAACGTAGCCTATTAATCAGTAGGAATACAGTCATGATTACTGCATCAACTGCTTGTTGCTGGTTAAATCCAGTGACTCTGTGTTTCAATTTAACATCTGCAGTGCTTGGGTTTACTGTTCCTGTGATACTGCAGCATCGAGACAGTACTATAGGTTTTTGTTAAGTCACCCATGCCCCTGGCAGGGCCGTCTTTGGTAGAGAACAGTAGAATAAATACTAATGATTTATTGAAATGAGCAGTACTCCAGTAAAAATGTGCCGTCTGTTAGAGGATCATTATGAAGCTAAAGGAAAACCCTCTCCACTGAGGTTAACCTTAGACTAAGCACAGGTTTTCGAAGAAATCCACTATATACCAACTAAAACCTTCATCGATCAGTTACCACTTAACTGATCAACTAGGTTTTACCAAATTTTGAAAACTCTGAGGATGGAAGCCACTATAAAGGTGGACTAAATGACTGGACAAACTATCAAGTGCCTCTCTGGCAACGTGAGAGGCCTGAGAGACAGACCGAAAGAGATCAGAAATATGTGCTATCGGGTGTATCTGAAGATCACAATCGTAAATAAAATATGGCTATCTCCTGACAATGCAGTCGACGAAGTAAACTTACGAAGCAAGATGTTCTTCTGATAGGGTTCATAAAACTGGTGGAGTGGTAATATTTATCGACAGCCGTTTTAAAACCATAACACCCCAGATCTTAGTAAACAGGGTACGATTTTCAAAGGTTGTCTCCAAACGTCTTGACACAAACATTATAAGTTCCAAATCGATTGAGCATGTGTTTAACGCGATTAAAGGAACGTAGGATGAAAATCTTTGAGTTTTTTAACAAAAGATTAGCTTCTGGTAGAGGGTTTTCACCACCACACACCAATAATAAGTAGTGATCATTGTGAAGTCACGTTTAACATCATAGCATTAGAAGTACTCATTAAAAACGAAGACGCGCCTATTTTTGCTACATTGGAGCGAATCACACGACCATGAGAGAGCATCTTCTACACGTCTCATGACCATGAAAATGGTCGTGGCTTACAGTAGAACATCACTGGCAAACAGTGAGAGACATCATTCAGAACGCTGTCCTAAGCATACCACATATTGTGCTCCTGCTACAGGCGAAAAGTGGATATTGGAACAAGTCGAATGTTTCTCCGCATGATTCTGATAGTAGTTTTTGTTTATCATTGATACAGAGATGAAATGCCGATTTTCGAAGCGATAGGATGCACTACTGGACAAAACTTGCTGCCAAAATATAGCCAGGACCAAAGTATCTCTTTCGGTTCATGACTTAAAAATAAACTTACTAACCAGGGTGTTTCTGCCCCCGAAATTCCAAATGCGAGGACTTAACCAACTTAAGGACGGCTCAGAACTTCAACTCCAACTTCACCTACCAGTTAAACCAGATATGTACAAGCGCAGTGCATTATTCAAACATAACGCCAGTCGATGTCATGGGGAAAATATGGCTTTCTCCTGGCTCAGTACTAGGAAAATTCAGATCAGCTATCTTAGAGACCAGCCGCATGACTACCAATACTATCAAAAGTAACGGACGGCGGGCAAATAAGTAAGTGAGGTATTACATGTATAAAAACAACATCCTCCATAAAGTAGGTCATGTGTACCCAATCTTCTCTTGGCGTCGAACTTGCCGGGACCGGAGAATACCAGTTCGCATAAATCTCCTTGATTTCGTGAAAGCTTTCAATAGAGTACTTCACCTACTCTTAATTGCTAAGGTTTTGAAGAATGGGCTTCACTGATCCATTTCTATCCTGGCTGAGTAACTTCCTTGAAATCAGTTAATTTCGTACCAGAATAAAGAGAGTGCATGCATGCTGGTAAGTCTCAACATCAAGAGTTTCACACGAAACCATCTAAGGTCTACTCCTTTACCTGATATTTACTAATGTCTTGATAGACAGACTAAGCACAGCTGCATTAGTCTTTGGGGATGATACAAAAATGATAAGGTACATAAGAAGAAAAGAGGATTCACATGAACTTCAAAATGACCTTACGGTAACAGAAGAATGGGAAATGGGTGCTACAGTGACAAACTACGAACTTGACGAAAGTCAACTCCCTATTTACTCCTAAGAGTATGATCTCGGCTTGATATACACAGAGAGACTGAACACTGCTTCAAACTAAATATGGGATGAAGGCAACGATAGCGCAGCTATTCATTTTACGTGGATAAAACCTAATGCAATCACCCCAGGATTGTTCCTGATTATATTCGAAATCTATGCATAGCCACGGCCTGACGTCCTCTACGTCATCTAACCCTCTTTCCTTAAAAGAGACAAAAATTGCCTGGTTCGAGTTCAGAGGCAAGCAGCTAAATGGGTAATAGAGTTAAAAATAAACCTCTCGAAGACAGATCCTAACACTTGGCTGTATTCCCGCTAAATCATCCCAACACGTGAATCCTGACAAGGACACACCACCACGATCCTTAGGGTATTCCCAAAATTTCACACAGAAGATCGGCCCCACTTTTCATTATTAAGAGTCGTCGCAACTTTGAATGCTCAACTAGCTAAAGTGACCATAGCCCTCTTAGTGGATTGCTTTAGGAATAGACTTGATAAACAATTACTAACATAGAGATAACCATCTCTGTCCTCGACTAGCTGTTCCTGATGCATGTCTCGAAACTTACTAGTTGTTATTATTGTTATTTCCTAGGATCATTAACTTGTTCTATCTGACTTATCATCTCTGTTTGCCCTGTTATCCTCTCACACAGTCCATGCTATCAGTTAAATAACCTACTTAATCATCTACATAGTCCTGAAATTTTCGTATCCTCATTAGCATTAGAATTATTTCGTTGTTGCTGGAATCCAAAAACCTTACTACACTTAGTCATTCGCACTCACTCAAATCACTTATGTATGTATAAATGATTGAAAACAGACTACAATTAGTGCAGTCGACTGAACAGACTTCCATCAACTCGACATAACCAAATGCCTGAAACCCTGCTTAAAGGACATGAGGTAACTGAAAAGAAATCAGTTTGTACATTCCAGCTCGTGAACAAAATCTCCTTTATACTTTGCTGACAAAACTCATTCTTCGTCGAAACTGATGACTCCATCTCAATCTCCTTGAATGATTTGAACTACTTATAAATGCGAAAAAGGAGCATTGATCATCAATCCATTGTACAATCATCGCTGAGAGACTAAAGTGTTTTAGTGACTTAACTGTTCTGTGTCCGTCCTAGAAAAAGGTTAACCTATTGTGAATGATGAACAGCGCTGTATTTGTACTGCTGTTTTTATGGGTTGTCTGAGTGACCGAAGGAAAAGGTTGATTGAGCAGGTTTTGGAATGGAATTCCAGTAGACTTGATCTATTTGAACTTACAATACCTGATGAAGTACGAAATTCTTATATTCAACACAGTTTTAGAAATGTGAATTCAATGGGGTCATGCGGTTTTTTTTCCAGGATGGCAATCGGAGATTTCAGACAAAATGCATTAGAGTATCTAGTTCATCCAAAACTTCTGAAGTTGCGGAAATATTGAAAGAAAAGTTTTGCATCCAAGAACCGTCTCTCATCGATAATCACTTCGGGATTTACGAGCATCACGCAAACGGAGGTTTGTTTTAGTTTTACAAAATGTATCTTTCAATATTGTTGCAAGCCTCATAAAAATATTGTACTTGATTTATTATGATATTCATTCAAGGATATTCCTGACTTTATCACAGGGGATGTCATTTTGAGCAGCATGCCTGTGCTATTTTTCAGTATTTATTTTACTGGCCAATAGTTCTTTCTATTTTCGTAATGCTTTACATAAGACAATTTTATTCCAGGAATTAAAACTAGAGGTCGACCTGTGATATTATTCTAAGGTGCATATTATGTTTCACCCACATGGTTAGCTCAAAGGTTCGCAGTAGCGTAACAATCATTTTATCACCAAAGTAATCCTTAAGATGAGTCTTAATTGATTACTCTTATCGTATGCTTCGAGATCGATTGACTAAAACTCAAAAAGATTTATGAAACTGGCGAAACTGTAATCTAATATACATTGGTGTGATTCAGTTATATAAAAAAGTGATCTGTGGTAGTTATAAGAGGTTTGCGGCATAAATCATCTAAGATTGGGACGTTGATAGCCCTCCAAACCGAGAATCAATATTTATAACTGTAAATCTCCATTTTTGAATGGTAAAATCTTATTGAAATATTATTTTCTATCCCATTTTGTTAACAACATCAAAAGATGCTTTAGCTTTTTGGTCGATTTCTCAAGCATCTCTATATATTACTTGAAGTAACAAAACATTATTTCATAGTTTACTGTTTCATTTCCAAACTGATAGTTCTCACTTCCTTTCAAAAGTGGTCCAATCAGCATCTATTTCTTGTAGTTTGCATCATATTTGTTACTACTACAAATATTACCGCTCGTACGAGCAAGATGATTGTTTATTCTTATCTTTGCCGAATCTCGGTACTTTAGTTATGATATTTCAGTGGAGTCTCAAATAATTCCGGTTCATAATAATTCTTACTGGTTATTCGTTTAGACCACTTTCATTAGCTTAATGATCGTCTTATCTATAGTGATATCTTAAACTTATACTATTAACGTGGCTGTAAATATTAATCCCTTTCAACTGCTGTGAAAAATAACACATGTCTAAAATATCCATTCACATACACGCTTTATCAATCGTATTTACCTTAAGATATGTAGAACGACTAATAATTCCGTACTTGTTTAAAAATAAACACAGTAATGACGTTGATAATTTGCAAATGCAGATTCACGTATTTGGTTTTAAACCAATTTGTGAAAGATAGCGAGACTACCTAGTTGCCGGAATCTAATTAAATACTGGAGAGTACAAACTTTCAACCTGCCGTCCTAGATTCAAGTACTTAGACCATTAAAACCATTCCATACACAATGTAAAAAGACTCATCTTCATATTCTAAACAGAAAAATATACCAAGTTCAAGTTGATTAATTACGAACAATTATATTGTTTGGCTTTGTTACCACTAGCCACTAAAATTTCAATAACATAATATTATGCCTTTACCATAAACAAAATAATTAACCCTAATATTCATTTTGTCAACGTCTTAATTTTTGTCGAATTCTTATCTTTTTTGTTAACGCATTAGTTAGAAGACTGACAAATGATGAATATCCTTTGTTAGTTCAACTCAATTGGAGTAGATTAGATAGAGATGGAAAGTTTGTCTTGAAACTGGAACCTAACGGTGGATATATCCAGGTATGTCTTTCCTTTTTTTAGTTGAATTAGTTGCTCTTCTATTCTTTACTTATGGATAAAGAAAATACACATCTGTTATCTAAGTATTTCATTAAATGTATAAAAAAATAAATAGTTGGAAAAATCCCTATTTCCTAAAATATTTTTGAGGGTTTTCAAGTTTAAAGTCTAAGCCTTCGATAAATAAAACTAGATATTCAACAAACCCCAAAGTGTAATTCGGCTTTGTTATTTAAGTTGTCGAAACTGTGCTGTCTTCAATAAGAATTTTCGACTCCAGAAGGCTGGAGATTGTTGTGACCTCAAGTTAACAAAAAGGAGTTTCTACAATGAATGACATAGTGTCATTCCGTGACATAAGACTACATCTGTGTCACTGTTTATTTTTCAAGGAAAAGAGTATACCATTAGATTAAAATATTAACCTTTTTCGAATAAATGCGCATAAAATATTTTTATTTTAATTATTCACTATTCAAGAAAAATATTCCAGAAGGTCAAAGTGAAACAAAATTGTGTAATTATCGAAATAATGGTGCTGTTAGCGAATCTATGAGCAACCCTAAAACTCGTCTGTTTAAACGTGGTTGGTCTTTTCGACGTGAAAAGATCATTTCTTCTGTGACTGCGAAAACAAACGAAAGATGTAGACCACCATTAGGTTGTGCAGCAGGTGTAGGATTATCAAAAAGTCCTCGATCTAATGTCATTCCCGAAAACTCACTGAATTGTTTACCAGGATTAACCAAACATAATGATGGCGATAATAATATTCATCATCGGCATCATAAAAGCAATGCAATTTTACCCAACTCTGATACTCTTCCCGACTCATCATTTACACGTACAATATCAGATCCGGAAACAGCAATGCAACGAAAACGTCAACGTACATTAGAAGCTAAACTTATGCAAATGTTGCATCATGATAATCTTGAAAAAGGTAAGTTTATGAATTGAAAAGGTCTTTTTTAACTTAAACCGACTTCTTATAAAAAAAATAAGATTGTTGATCTTTAAGAATATGTATCGATTCAAGTTGTTTTTCCGTAAATCAGAAAATTAACAAAGCTACTCTTTGAAGTTGAATATTCTGTTTGTACTGTATGTTGTAGAATAGATATATATAAATATCTAATTAATCTGTGTTACTTTTTAAAAACTATACTGATGGACGCTATCGAACACGACTTTGATTTAGAATCGATGAACGACTAACTTACCTAACTCGACAAGAGTAAATGAACTGGTTTGTGTACATTGAGTTGGTCAGTTGTGCCAAATTATCGTTCACATGAACTCATAAAAGTAGGCGACTGTGGTATTTTATACGAAGATTTGGTTCCTTAAATATTTTTCGAAACATAACACAGGTCAATTACACTATTTATTTTACACAAAGCTGTTGTTTGTTTGATTGCATCCAAATTAGTTTTAGCTTTGCATTAATTGACCATTTAGGCTGACGACACAAGCAGACTGGATTAGAAACTTTCATATCATCTCATTATAACCGAACTCGACTCTTTAGTTAGCTAAGTAGTAACTTATGTCAAGATCGTTAAATTGTTCATTTTTAATACTTAAAAATTAAAGGTTTTACCAGAACAGAGTTTAATCAATTACAGTTTAAATTTACAACCTATCCAAACTACCATTTCGCTGTTAGCCACATACCAAACATACTACATTGATAGACACATGTAGTTTTTATTTTATAAAAGCGTATATTTTTTTGAAAAAAAAAATAAAGTAATAATCAGTCACATAGGGCAAGTGTGATTTACTTGGATGCTGAGATATTATAGCTTATTTTCAGTGAATACCAATAGAAACATGTTGTTTCATTCTGATAGTGATGAAGTTGTAAAAGGAGTGTTGATATTAAAAGTTTGATTGACTCCTTATTTACCTTGTTCATCTGATCAATCAGTGAGTTATATGTAATGAAAGAACTAGTAGAGGCGTTCCGCGCCTTAAGTAACTCTACTCCATATTGATATGGAGAAAGGAAAAACAATTAAAATTAAAAAAATGAAGAGGCACAAAGTGTTGATAATGATGATAATAATAATAATATTCATAGTGGAATAATGATTTGTGCACGTAATAGTTATGAATCCCAAGATTTGTAGGAAGGATAAAAATCACTGTGACCAAACGTCTTCTTTTATAGATTGTGACTATTTCTTAGAATTTGAGCAGAAAGTTCACACCGCTCAACGTGACTCTCTGTTCAATAGTCAATAAACATTATGAACTAATACCGTACCAACTAAGCGCTCTATTTAACTTGGTTATTTAGCTGTTTATTAGTTTGTGGTTTTTATTCATTTAATTTATCCATGAAGTAGAGCAATACAAATGAAAATACTGCAATCTAGTATCAATTCAACCATGTGTCATGTTACAACATAATGTAATCTTGTGTATAGTTTTTGTGTACAATCAATATGCTGTCACATTTTGTATGTTGCGATGTTTCATATAATAATAATAATAATAATAATAATAATAATAATAATAATAATAATTTAAATTAACCTCAGCCGTTGATTTGATTACAACAACTATAATGTTTATAAAAAAATGTGAGGACATCATTGTAGTCTACTTGTTATAAATTCAGTGTTGTAATCAATCATCGAGTAATTAGGTATAAGAAACAATGTAAGCGTTAATAGTACTACTACTCGGTCACTCAAACCGGGATAGGTCGAACGGGTTTCGAACCTGCAACTTAGGCTGAGAGTCATGAAATCTAACTCGTATTTATTGACCCATCTTTGATTTTTTTTTTAGTTGTAAATTTAGCATATCTGTTCATCTGCATGAAATAGATTATTTATGGATGTCTATGATTGTTTGTTTACATTTTATGATTATGTTACATAATTTCTACGTAATTTCCATGATCAGTCGACATAAGATTTAAACGCAAAATTTCAAACTAAGTACACTCCATGTGAAGTGAAAATTGTTACTTCGAACTAATGTATAGTTCTAAGTAGGCACTAGTGCTGAAGATGATCTTGAGCAGTTACAAAGCTAGTAAGTTGTCTCATACATTCACAAGTTCACTTCACTGAATTTAAGCTAATTATTATGCTTTCTAGAGATTCTCTACTATACAGATAATGTTCAAATTAGATTTCAGTTAATATGAAATTGACTAATCATTTGTAAATGATCAGTTGAAGTTGAAAGCCATTATGTGTAGGTGGTTTTTGAAGATGTTTAATGTTTGATTAAATAGTATAGAACAACTACAAAGCTTCCACTTCATCAGTATTCAACAAGAGATATATCATTCAACTATTGACACTTTTGTACAATCGAAATTGTCACTTAATTAAATCATAAGATTTATTTGTTTTAACATGTGTAAATCTGATTTCACTAAACACATCTTTTAACATTATAAATCCATGCATTACTCTAATAAAATTTCATTATGATATTTGAAATCAAAGAACAGATATGTAGTAATAGTTTATTTAGTCGTAGAGTATTACTAGAAAATAAAATTGATAGCTTTCTACTTTGTCCAGTGTGTAGCATTTCATTGAAGTTCATTTATACCCTAATTCCCACAATGTTCATCATTCCAATTGAATTATTTCATAGAATTGTCATCACGTTATATGTTGGTTATGTAAACAGTCTCTCTCAGAAACCAGTAGGATAATGGAAGAAAAAACAGAAACCACAAGTTTATTATGCAGTTATTTATTTATTTTTTCTTTCCGCTTGCTGTTGTTGTTTACATTTAGAGATGATGCAGTATTCACATACAACGAGTGCCCACACACACACACATAGACGCATATATATAAATACATAGATGTATGCATGCATGTGCATACACAACACAAATCATGTTTATTCAAGTTTGTTCATTGATTTAGTGCCGATGAATAAATTCTCTTCTGGTATTGTGTACCACTATAAGAATAATAACTGCCAATTACTCTTTCACATCACTATTATTATTATTATTATTCTGTTGAGAGTAAACAACATTGTGTAAATGTTCACAGGCACAAAAAGTCGAGTTCTATTTTTTGCTTTACACTTATGATATTATTATTAGCCTTTTTTGTTAAAACTAATCCGTTAGTGTGTATTTTCATGAAAATCTCGCCGACATTTTTCTTATCGTTCCTACCACTAAACAATATATATATACGCGTACAGGTGTATCACACTATTTACTACACTCAATATAAAGTTAAACGATATTATATACCGTTGAAATGATAACTTCAGACATGTTCCTCTCTTTGTGTATCCGTGTATGTATGTGTGTGTGTGTTAGTGTATGAATAAGATGAACAAACAAGAGAAGTATAACCACCAGACTATGATGGTTAATTATAAACTGATTTACACTGTCCATTTGTATGACTTTTTTTTTAAACAAACCGACTATTGAAAATCATAAATCCTAACAAAAATTATCATAAAGAAAATCATTTATACCTCAATTCATTTTGAATGATGCTTGAAAGATGTAAAGAATGATAATAAGTTTAGAAAAAGATGTCAGTAAATAATAAAACAAACAAACAACATAATACAATCAAAGAAGTTTTAACAAAATAGTTTTCTTGCTTTTTCTTTAAAAAACAATACACTTCTCACTATTGTTTCAATCATATTGATTGTGACCATCACAAAAAATCTGTTTTTCTGAAATCGATCCAACTTAAAGCAATGATTGGAATTGTTCTGATAAATAATCATTTAAAAACCTTGATTAATGTAAATATTGTCTTGTGACTGAGCAAAAATGAACTATAGTAAGTTGTCATTTCTGCTTGAAGCTACACTACATGTAGGAAATGGAACACATTGAAAGCCGATTCCTTATAAAAGTGTCGGTTTTTTTTTGGTGAATAACAAAGCTACAAACATTTCGTGCTTGCTCCTTCAACTTGTGTAACCCTTTTTCAATTGCGAATAAATCATAAGTTATTTTTTTCGTATACGAATCCCTCAGTGACCCTTAGCTTAAGATCGAATTCTATAGATTATATTTACAAAATTATATGGTTTAACACTGTCGTGCATTTTGTTTAATATAGGATGATTTGATATGTCTAATTGATAATCTGTTTTCATGTTATCACTATTAAGCTACTAAACATAACGAATAAAGGTATTCAGTCGTTGAATCAACATTGTAAAACTCCTTTAACCAAAGGTTCATCAAAAAATTATGAATCTCTAACTAGTACTGTTCACCAGTCACAAGGATTGATCAATGATTTCAAAATATCTTAAAGACTAAGTGTAATTTAATGTAGGTTAGCAAAATCCAAATTAGTTTTTTTTGTATCTGTACCTATCTTCGTCTATTCACAAAGTCATCAGTGTTGAACTTCGTTGAATGCCAGCTCACTGGTCTAGAGATTAGGCGCTGGTGCGTAAGGTTGAAGATCCTAGGTTCGATTTCCGCATGGAGGGTCGTGAATCCTAACTGCTAATGAATATCCTATTAAGACAAAATATTCGTGCCTCCAAGATTCCAATAGTGGTCTAGCTAAGGACAGTTCGTAATTTCGACAGTGGGAAAAAATATATCTATATTAATTTTCGATTGACCCCAGATAGTAGCGAACTTCACAACAATAGAGTTTAATTACTTATTAATATCGTATCTTTTTCTTCCCCTTAATTATTTTTTTATTGCAGGTGGAATGTTAAAAATTTACGGTGGTCAATTATTTCCTGAAATACCTTATAAAACATTATTAATATCAATTACAGATAATGTTGCATATATTATCCGTGAAAGTTTAAATAAATATGGTTTAGATGAAGCAGATCCAGATGCATATTGTTTAGTGATGCGTAAACGTAATTCACATGATATATCGACTGGATTAATTGGTGTTGAAGAACTATTGTCCGATGATACTTGTCCATTAGAATATTTATTGACTTCATTTTCACCAACAAAATCTACTGATGATGACACAGTGATCACTTTTGAAGTAAGTATAATGTTTACAAGTGTATTTTTAAAAATTGTATTTTGTATTTTACTACCTACCTACATAGTTTTGTTCACCAGTCGGTGTCTTCATGGATTAATGTTATGTCTTGATTCAGCTGCTGCTACTGGATAGTTTACTTCTCTTCATAGATCACTCCTTTTTTGCCGTTCGATGAATAATAACTTGGTTATCTAAATTGTAAAATACTGTCCGCGAGATTTATAAGTTTTACATGTAATCTCCGATTGGATTGTGCATACTCACAACTGAGTAGGTCCATACCTGGTCGAAGAAGATGTTCAGTGATCCCTAGGTCCCTATAATTATCATTCCGAAGTCAAGTTATTATGCAAACTATCATTCTTACCTATTTTATACAGTAGAAAGATATCTTTTATATCATCTGCAATTATTTCTGTTCTAAATTTTTGTTGAAATAAATGTTTACCACAAATAATCATTGATTGAACAACCGTCAAAAAATCAATAACGTCTGAACAGTTGTTTCATCTCTCTACCATTAAATAGCACCATTCAATATCATGAAACAAAATATGATTTATTGTATTGCTCATCAGCAAAAACTCGAATTTATGGCAGTGTTATATTCGCTGTAAGCATAATTTCAGTTTCATGTCTGTTCGATGTAATGGTTATGGGTATGGGTATGAGGGCGGGTGTAACTTCCCGGCTGCCCACACTCTGAAAGTGTCCTCATTGATAAGTCTAATCAATAATGGTTGAAATTTCTTAAAGTCAGTTAATCTCTAATAAAAGTACAATATGTAGCTTGTAATCACCCAATCAGTCATCATCAACCAATTCACAAATATATATATATCAGCTTCAATACAGTGAAAATATAAGTCGTTAAGCAGTTGATATAACAACAGTATCAGTGAGAGCAAAAAGCTAAACATAGTATCATTCAGAAAGATTTAGTGAGCGCTGACAATAGAAATAATGAAGTAATATTAAAACTGGAAATCTTTGCTTATCCAAAATCATATCGAACAAACTGCAACCGAAAAGCACAAACAGCTGTTTTGTCCTACCACGCGACTCATCAGCAGTGCACATACAGAGCTCCTGCCACAAGGAGGTGAATCCAGGATGCACAGCTCTCACATCGCTAATTTAACTTTTAGACTACTGAGACAAGATCGATTTCTCTATGTTCACGTAATTAGTTAAGAAGTTAACAGTGATCATTTTAATGAGTCGAATTTTATTGTTTCTGGTGTACATTTTCGTTACCCTAAATTTATCCCATTGTATGAATCAACTCATTAATTTCAACAAAAATGTGAATAAATGAAAAGAAATTGAAAATTTCTTAAAACAATGTGTCTATTTTATCAAGACTATTGTTAATTAATTAATTAATTAATTTAGTTTAACAAGCAAATCAATTTTCCAATTCTTTGTTGTACATTTTCTCTCTCTCTGCTTCTCTCTGTTTCTCCCTCACGTTGACTTGGTCGATGTTTCGAAATAAGAATTACACTATTTGTAGATTATTTAACAAAAGACTGATCTTATCAGAAAAGTTTCATTATTTTAATGAAACTGTAAAACTCAACTACTGAGTTTTGATTGAATAGATTGACTAAATAGCTAATAAAATAATATATTCAGCGTTTGAATCCAAAGGTACTTGGTTCAAATCTCAGCGTCAGCACTAACACCGTAATATAGCAGGTACATCCAGCTGACGAGTTTTCAGTGAGACGAAACGTGTATCATGAATTTGATTGCTAAGCCACATTCTATCTATTCCGTAAGAACTTTAGGAGATTATTGTTTAGCAGTCAAGTCATAAACTTTTGATTTATTTTTCGTCTGGATATTATTCAATTGAAAAAGGGTTGTTATCCTACTTAGGATCTAAATTTCTTTCTCTCTCTCTCTCTCTGTGTTTCTTTTTCATGTTGGACCTACCTGATGTTATTTATAACAAAAAAAACCAAGGTCTTCATGTTAATTCATTTGTTCATCGGTTCTGTTGTTCCTCTTATTCTCACTCCAATCTACATCACTTGGATATATGTATGTACATATGTCTGTATGTTAGTTTTGCAGACTGAATGTCCTGATGCATTAGTCTTCATTTCATCATCTCTTTGTGTCTGATAAACTCAACATGAAATTCTACATTTGTTTGTTAGATTAGTAATGAATAGAAATGGGCGTTTACATGTAATTATTATTTCTAATAAACAAAGATAGATTTTTGTTATTGTTTATTACATAACTGATGATGATTGACTATAATTGATTTCCATTTACTGAATAAGTGTCATGTGTAAGTAATTCCATGTTTGATTAATGTACTAAGGTTATGATTTACACTAGTCACTAGTTTCCAGGAGGGAATTTATTGTAGTTATAATACAAAGCATGGATCTGTATAATTAACCAGGTTGGAAGTGAAGTTTGCCAAAAAAATGATTGTTTTGATTGTCACAAAACGTTGTAATCACTTTAAGACGCCTACAAGTCATAGACTAGTTCATTTGTACGGATTGGAGTTGAATCTCAGAGTAAAATAAGACATCTGACTAATGCTGTTTGATTTTCAACGCTGATTTATATGTATGTATGTATGTATGTGCATAAGCATCCGTGTCTGACCAGAACCCTTTTTATTCTAAGAAATTGTATACTTCTAAAATCTATGTACATATGTCTTTGAGGAGCTCACTTTAGAAAGCAACACATGAAAAGGGATGTTTTATTCTTTTAAAAAAGCAGCTTTGCTTTAAACTTTTAATATTTGCACTATTTTCCTTAAATTCACATTTTTTGGAATACAAATACACGAAGGGCGTACTAGCAATAAACAAACCATAGAATCATCAGGATAAGATACATCAGATGTCCCTTCAGACAAATGGCAAACTGTCAAGAATGTTTCTTGAAATTTCCTTTACTAACCAACATTATGCCTCAACGCAGGCGGTGGTTGAACATTCATAACGCACATTCAAACCACCTAAATCAATAAGAACTCACTACCTCGTCAACTGGGTTACCATCTTTCTTTAGTACTCTGCCTCTTACCTAGATATTATTCAGTCGGTTTTCACAGCAAATAGAAGAAATGCTTCCGAGATATCTACGGTCAGAAGTCTGCACCCTACGCATTTCTTCCACTTTGATGGACTTTGTTTTACAGTCATGCAGTGAAAAAGATTAAACTGCTAACCCGATTTGTCGTCAAGCTTAATATACAGCGAATTGATTCAAATTCGTTAATTCGATCCGTTTGAAATCAAGGTTATCAACTAATTGGGTAAAACCATATTATAGCGATGACCTTCAGGAGAACAATCAGACTTAGGGTAGTGCCTATTGGATTTGGCACAAAATCCAAAATGCAGTGAAGAGTAACTTGTATGTTCATAGAGTAGGTACAAATAGCTTATAGTTAATTTCTAAAATGCTTAAAATTGTTAAAAAAAGTCTTTAATCCAACTACATAGTCCAAGTGACTTTATGCAAATGCAAAATTACAAGAAACATTCTGCTCCTAATGTAGATTGTATCTCAGAGTACTGGTTGTAACCTATAGCATAATTATCAGTGTGTTTGTGATTTGAACATATTCTGTTATGCTAACTGTATGTCATATTAGTAACTCCAAAATTTAGCACTTTGAACCTTAACATCTTTAATGTTCACACTCATGATCGTGATTGTTAACCTGTAACTCCAGACTTTATTCAAACTCCGAGTTCCTGATCTTAAAATTATTCTCGTGTATTTATCATTACAAAGCTGTTTATGAATTCTGATTGTTTCCACTTTTCATGATAAATTATTTTTTTCTATAAACACTATCTTCTAATTTACTGAAAAGCCACTCAGGGTTATCTCTGTGATATATTTTTTACCACTAATGCAACTTTATTCGCAGAAAGTAATCAGCTTAATCACATCTAACAGCTGTTCTTGTTTCAGTCTAACTCTGATGAACCATCCATTAGGTGATGCGGCTTGTTTTTTTTCTTCACATTAATCCTACCACATAAATATGCCTTTCATGAGGATCCTCTTGATGACTCACCGATGCAATCAATTATTACTTCCGTTTCATCTCATAAAACAAAATTTAACCCTATATCTTTAGAAAGAGAGGTCACTGAGTTTGTTTTAATCTATTGTCTAGAATTATTTTGCGATTGTTAACTAAAAAGAGGCGGTCAATTTTCCACCTATTACTACTACTAGTAGTAGTATTGGTAGTAGTAAACATTAAGACAGACGGAGACATACAAGTATCATGGGATAATGTAAGTTCTATCCTGTATTTCATTGTGTAGTATGAGTCATAAGTTATAAACACACTCAGCAATTTTCTGTGAAAAATCTGTTAACAGGATTATGCTAGACTGATATGTTTTAACAGGAAATTTTTCAAACAATAAAGAGACTTTTTATGGTTTTTGGATTACATATAACACTGGAATCTAGTATGTGTATTTCACCGTATTTATGATTTGTCTTTTGACTTTATCCCCATTTCGGTGTTGATTTTCACACAAATATTCGAAGACCATGCAACAACCCAGATGTATAGCAAACTATATTGTATGGGAAACGGTAGGCTAGTGGTTGAGCTGTCCAACTTTTTCACCATTAAAACTTAGGCTTCGGAATTCGTTCCATCTATTTTGTCTTGTGCTTTCAGGTAGTCTCACTAACCCTCACATTTAATATTCAACTTGAAGAAAAGTACTCGAATTTGTACATAGGAATGTTGAGACTACTATTTAAGAAGCTTATATACACTAGAATAGACTAAGCTAATTCAATCTTGATTATCAACAGTGGGAAAACAGAGGCCTTCATAAAATAATAATGACAATAATTAAAAACGCTTTGTTCATCTTTTAATTGATAAATCGATTATCAACTTCCAAACCAAATAACCTGTTTGTGTGATAAGCTATAAAACCAAAGAAAAAAAATGAAATCCATTGTTCAACATCACG